AGAAAGAGATATAGCAACAGCAAGCAACTTCCTTCTCCCCCTGAGGAGGGATTATTTTTCTTTAAAGACTTGCTATTGCATGCTTTTAATCAGGGAACTGTAATACTTCAGACTGGTTTGCTCTTCAAAATATTTCAATAGAGCTTCAGAACTGAACACATTTCAGCTGTTGTAAACATTGAGAGCACTGGTGGTAGTGATGGGAACAGCTACATGGTAGCAAAAGCATATAGAGGATTTTTGTTTGTTTTTCTACAGAGTGTTTTCATCAGCAGATGAAGATTACAAAAAAAATCAATGCTCCTCAGGACTGACTTGCTGAAATCCTAATGGAAATATGGGGGCTACAGCCCATTCAGAGCTCAGACTTGCCAGTAGCTGCCTTGAAGACACTAAGAAAGCTGAGGCCTAGAAGCCACAGGAGCTTAGGAAAAAAATATAGACTCCCAGCCAGCACACCCAGTGGGCTGATATCACAGCTCTCAGGGTATATGGGGAGAACAGAATTGTTCTATAACTTTGGAGATCTATTTTAAAACAGAATAGTATTTTACTGCGCTTAATTCCATAATTAAGAAAGCTAAGTACCAGAAAAATGTGCTACTTTTCATCATATGAACTTTTAGACTGCACAAAGAAAAAATATATCAGCTCATATTATCAAAATTAACATGATACAGTTATTTTAAAGCATTTCCTGGTACAACTCTTGACAAAAACCCTACCTCACATTGTTCAGTCCCCATATAAAACCAAGCCAGCTTTGAGTATTACTTCCTCCTCCTTTCCAATAAATTATTGACTCTATGCTCAGCAGACCTTTTGCAATGGGTTCAGCATTAATGTCCTTCCATCTGTCCCTGGAGGTCAAGATGATAGGAAACAAAGTATCTGCTTCTGTGTATTTAGAGACTACGTGCAAAAATGTTCACATTGTAAAACTTTGGGCTCTTAAATAATTCAAGAAGGTCAAGCATCTATGATTCTAGATTTTTGACTGAGTCAAAACCACTTAAGTAGTTCTTTCCCACTCAAGTCATGGGAAAGAATAGGCATTAGTAGAGTAAATGTATTATTGTGTTAACCAAAGAAGTGTCCTGATATGCCAAAATAAACCCCATTGTGTGTACACCACTATACACCATGAGGCTGTTAAAAATCTAGGCATTGTCCCATAAAAATCACTGGCATTAAACATTTTTTAGAGATCTAAGAAGAAGAAGAAAACTTTTTAAAAAACAAACAACTCTCTAAATATTCCTTAAACTTCGATAATAAGCAAATTACGTGGCACATTTCAGCAGCAGTAAAAATGGTAATAGTTCCTTGTGGGAAGACAGAACTCAGTTGTGGAAACGAGCTGCAAAAGAAATATAAATTTTAGACTATATCTTCCTAGTTCAGAACACACAAAAGATTTGGAGTTCAAGAGAGTCAGATTTTAATGAAAAAAAGCAGTATATCTATCTCATCTGATGAAATTGATGCAGTTTATACTGTTTAGCTAGACCGAAGGCATGGAGAAGGCAAACTGATTGAAACTCCATTATACCCACAGCTAAGATTTGTAGTCTTTCAGAAACAGCAAGATATCTGACAGTTTTATAGTTCCATCTTCTGTGTAGTCTCAGATCAGGTAGTTTTGTAGGAAGCAAGAAGATCCTCTGACGTTGTTTCTACTTCTGGCTGAATAGGCCCTGCTCTCAATCTCTCTTAAACTATTATATGCTCCTAACCCTGAACCTTGGTGGTTCTCCACTGGGTGCACTCCTGTATGTCAATATTCTTGCACTGAGAGCACAAAACTGGACACAATACTCCAGATGTGGTCTTACAAATGCTGCATAGAAGGAAAGGATCACTTCTCTGTACCTGCTGTCAACAATCTTACTAATGCAGTCCAGGACACGTTCATCTTGTTTTCTACTAGGACCCAAGGGCCTTTTCTGCAGAGCTGCTTCCCAGACAGTTGGCCCCCAGCCTGCCTTGTTGCCTGGGATTACTCCAACCCAAGACCTTTCATTGCTCTTGCTGAACTTCATAAGGTTTCTACCAGCTCATTTTTCCAGCCTGTCTAGGTCCCTCTGACAGCAGCCCTGCCTTCCCAGTTTGGGTCACCCCTATCTGGTGTCACCTGAAAACTTGCTTGGAGTACTCTCCATTTCATCATCCAGGCTGTCAATGAAGACATTAAACAGTATTGGTCCCAGCACTGATACCTGAGGGACCCACTACCTATTGGCTGGAAGCTTGGCTTTGCACCATTAATAACAACTCTTTAAACCCTGTTTATTTTTTATCCCCCATTAGAGTGCAACTATCCATCCCATGTCCCAACAATTGGTGGGCTGTGGAGGAAGTTATGGGAGGCTGTCAAACATGGTTAAAATCAAGTTACTTAACAGCCTCTGTCTTTCTCTTGCTCACAGTGCCAGATATCTCATCACAGAAATAATGATTTCCATATGGAAAAAGTTTTAGCTACTCTCATTCACCTTGTTGTCCTTCATGGTTTAAACATGATTTACTCCAACAACGTTCTCAGGGACTGAAGTGAGGATGACTGGTCTATAGTTACCTGGATCCTACTTCTTCACATTCTTGACGGTCTAGTTCCATGGACTTGTGTATGATATTTAAGTGATTTAAGTGATGATTTAAGTGATGCCTGACTCTGCCTTGCTTCACTTTGAGTACTACTTCACTCCCACTGGTTGCTAAGAGGTTCAGGGACCTGGAAGACCTGAAGACAAGCCTTGCAAGTGAAAACCGAGCTATAAAAAAGGCATCAAGTACCTCAGTTTTTCTAATGTCCCTTGTCACTAAGTCCACTGCCTGCTCCACCAATCAATGGGCCCAGTGCCACTTAGCCTTCCTTTTGCTGTTGATGTACTTTAAGAAATAGAAATCTTTTCTGTCCTTCAACTCCCTGTTTTAGTTTCAACTCCAGCTGAGCTGGAGCTTTCCTGTCTCCATTCCTATATACATGGAGAATGCCTCTATATCACTCCCAGGTAGACTGTCCCTGCTTCTGTGTGCTTCCCTTTTTGCATTTAAGCTGAGTCAGGAGGTCGACATTTATCCATATTGGTCTTGTGCAATGCTTGTCTTCTGAAGAATGGGAAGAACAGCTCTAGTGCTCAGAGGATGCTGTCCTTGAAGATTAACTAGCTCTCCTGGGCCCCTTTGCCCTTCAAGATAATGATCCACAGGATCCTGCCAAGCACATCCCTGAACAGAGCACCTCCCATCATCACATTATTTATAATCTATATCAACAAATTGTCTTTAATCAGTTCCAGAAATATGGATTGCTTGTGTCCAGCCATATTGGCCTTCCAGTAGATATTGTTGTGATTAAAGTCACCCAAGAGTATCAATGCCTGGGACTGTGAGGCTTTTTCCACTTGCCTTAAAAATGCTTTATCTTTCTTTTCTTGCTGATGAGAAGGTCTACAGACACCTACTACAATACCACCTCCGTTGGTCTATTCTTGACCTCTGCCTACAAGCTCTCCACTGGTTCATCACTTCATCCAAGGCTCCATCCATTTAAAAAATGCCTTTGCATAGAGCATAGCTTTCAGGTATGCTTCAGGCATCTCTTACTGGTATCCTGTTAGCACCTTAAGGTACTTGCATCTTGTATACACAACTGGGTTCAAGGTTAAGGAGTTGTGTCATGTTCATTACAGAAGAAAGGGATGAGTAGGTCAGACATGCTGAACCTTTTTAGGTTTGCCCCTTCTTTGGTGCCAGAATCCTGAAGTTATGATTTACTCTCATTTTTTTTAAATATAGCTGCACCATAGTAACTCAAGGGAAGGAATAAGATTTCTTCATTAGAGAACAAGGGGAATGCAAATGGAAAAGTTTCTGTAGAACTGATTTCAGTGCTGTTAAAGCATAACTAACATGTTTTTATTCCATTATTAATCATATTATTATAGAATCATTATTAATTTTACACATTAGAAATTAAAGTCTTTAATGTGAGCTACTTATCTAACAATAAGTTTTAAACTGATTCTAGAAAGCCACAGTTTTTCTATGTGTGTGTTTTTACATTTTAAATCAATAAAAACCAAAACTCTGTCAATCTATCTTTTGTGATGGGATGTACATATGAATGTTTGCAATACTTGATCCAAAATCCACATAATTCATGACCTTACACACTTTTAACCTATCTCCTGCACACGTTTCTTGAATTTTGTTTCATTGTATTTAGCTTAGGTTGTACACATGCTATATTTATATGGTAATATTAAGATATATTTTTAAAATGCGGTTTCAAATACGTCACTACACAAACAGAAACTTTATCATTAAAAAATTCCTCAGTCTTTTTAAATTTTTTTTTTTCAGGTAAAATATACCCTAGGACACAGACATGTACAATTGCATTTTCAAACTAGAAAACAGTGCACTTTAATAGTGCACTGTTCAGTGTCTTTACAAGTAACTACTTGTCACTACGTACGATGATTCCCAAGTTTGTTCACAACTTAACTCATTCATTATACCATGTAGCTAATTCAAACCACAGATTGCTTGACATTCAGCTTTACAATATCATGAGGTTTTAGCTGGTATTTACATTTTATTTGCAATGGCATGATAATTATTAGTTTAGTCAGTGCCTATAAAAAAAAAAAAAAAAAAAAAAAAAAAAAAAGAATGCTTCACATCTTGACTTGATAACATCTCATGGGTATTTTCTACTCAGTTTTACAAGTTTAGCTGAAAATCTCCAGTCTTTAGACCTTCTGCATGCAGTCAAACATAAGAAATGGAAGAAAGAACTTTGCAAAACCCCCAACATACATTAAAAAAACCCCTATCAAAACGCCCAAAAAAGTAAACCCCTAACGCCAAAGTTCTTGTTTACAACAAAGTCCTTTAAGTTAAGGATTTATATCTCGTGTTAATTCATCTGAGCAAGACTTTGATGTGTAACTTGACTTCTTCAAGCTAGAGATGCAGTACTAATAGCTTACCTGACTCACACGCAAATGTCTTTGATGTCTCATCATGAAAGATAATTGCCACTGCATGCTTCTTTGTCTCTCGAGGCAATCTAGTTATGTTTTTGATATTGTGCAGCTCAGTTACCTTAAAATGAAGGAAAGTATTTTAGCCCAGTATATAAATAGTACAAATAAAAATATTAACCATAACTACTCAATTTTTACTATAATCTGTTTTTCCCCCAAGGCTATTTACATCTATAAGTTTTTTAATTGACAAAACCACATAAATAGGTAGAATCTAAAGTTGCAAAACTTTCTATAAAATGCAATGTATCAAAAAGTGAATGGTTTACTTCTCTAATAAAGTTCTACTTGTAAACATAGTTATTACAATGACATCAGACAGTCTTGTGAGTATTCCATAATATTTTTTCAATTTCTATAGTCATATAACTTTGATCAGTTTCAGGATCTGCAACAAATACATAATCTAATGTAGGAACAGCAGTGTCTTATTAGTTAAGAGAAGTAACTCAATTATCATGCTGATCAGTATCACTACATTGGTAAGAATTGATCCTTATCTGTCTTTAAAGTGTAATTGTCATCCTCATAAGAACTCACAATTTTATTTTCCAAATATTAGAAAATATTATCATCAAAAAAATACTCTTGTAGCAAACTTGTAGCATAAAAAGTTCAATTTATTTCCATTTTCATTTGTCGCAAGTAGATAGCTACAATTAACACAAATGGAAGGAAAATATGTTACTACAACCAAAACTGGTAGCACAGCCTATATTAAACTGCTTAACACTTCACATTGTAAAATCTTTTTCTTAGTTTCTTGGAACTCTGGGCAAACTTTATGTGTTTATAGTTAGCTTTTCTGGGCAAGACATCTGTCTCAGGCAGAATTAATTTCTTAAAAATGTCATCCATATGAATTTGACCATCTAGGACTAGGGAAAAAATTGAATGAATGTGGGTGGGTTCTTTTTTTTGTTTGTTTGTTTTTGTTTTTTTTTTTAATTCTTATGCTCCCTGTGTACAGATCTAGCATTCCTTTTCATATGCTGGAAAAAATGTGTTTTAGGAGACAGAGATTTTATATGGTGCAGTAAAAATATGAAACATGTTGGGACAAAGGCATTGCAAAAAAGATTGAGAGCAGATGAGCAGTGAGAGCCATCAAGAAGCCAGGGAAAGAAACTGAGACAAAGCATGAAGTGAAATACGTAGGTGCTGATGACAAACCTGAAACCAGAACTGAAGACTGCTATGGGGTCTATCTTGACAGCCTTCAGCAAAACTCACTCCATATTGTCAATATCTTAGCTGTTAAAGGTGAGCCAAAACTGGATGCCATAGTCTAGATATGGTCTAATGAGTGCTTATCAAAGGAGGAAAATCAGTCTCTGTATTGACTGGCCATGGTGCTGCTCATACAGCACATGGAGCCATTGGCTGTCTTTGCTGGCTGAGGCACCAAGCCCCAGGCTCCTTTCCACAGGGCTGCTCCCAGTCTGCCCATCCCAAGCCTATGCCATCGCAGGGGCTCCTCTGTCCCAGGGTGAGTGCCTAGAACTTGCCCTTATACAGTTTCACAAGTTCCCTGTCAGCCTGTTCCTCCAGTCCATTCAGGTCTCTGGAAGGTAGCCTGACTAGCAAAAGCATATCGACTGATCCTTCCCAGTTTGCTATCTGCACAGCATACTCCATTACCACCTCCAGGTCCCCGATAACAATACTAATCAAGAGAGGTGCCAGTACAGACCCTGGCAGTTCTACACTGCTACCAGCCTCCAGGTGGAGTACGACCTTTCTGGGTCTGACTAGCTGACCAGTTTTTAACATCTAGACTTCCACTCACCTAGGTGATAATGTCCCAACTTGGATATAAGAACATCATGGGAGACAACATCAAAAGTATCCAACAATAGACACTGCTACCTCCTCATCCCAAATCACAGATGGCTATCAGATTGGTCAGGCATGATTTACTCTTGGTAAATCCATGTTGCCTCTTTCCAATTATTATCTTCTCCTTCACATGCCCAGAAATATGCTTTAAGAGAACTCACTCCATGATTCCTCCCATAGGCTGAAGTGATCTTGCCAGACCTGTAGTTATCCTGATTGATCTTTTGGCAATTTATTGGACACAGGCACAATATTTGACTTGCCATTAGGTTCCTAATCCCTTATAATTTTTTTTTTAACATGTATTTTCAGGGCTTTGCAAGGAG